ACTGACTAAATATGTAATAAATACAGAAACATTATTAAAAGTAAAATGAAGAAGTTTTACTCACTGATGAGTTTCTAGTGAGTAGCTGCATTATGGCAGATTTAGTTTATGTTTGATGGTGACTTTAAAGCAGCTTATTTTCAGACATTAGTACTGTACTATCCAACTAAATTGCTCAGTTACTTCAAGCCAACAGCTCAGAGACAGGAATTTATTAAATTTATTTTTATTTCATTTATTTTTACTAAATTAATTTTGTTGCATTTAACCATAAATCTAAAGTTTAGCATTGATACAAGAAACAAATTTCATGTTTAGTAAAAGAAAAAAAAATTTTTTTTCTTTTTGGGAGGGGACCCCTCCTGGCGGGCCACACCGTAGTCAATGTGGCCCGCGGGCCTTGTGTTTGACACATGTGATGTAGAGACTCAAACAAGCAGGTAAAGAATTACACCTCTGTTGCTCTAACTGACACAACAGTCTCCTCTAGAGGCTCTTGTGGACCTGACACCTAAAGTGCTGACTCAGCTGATGGTGCAATAAATTCCTGCTCTCACATTCAGCTCTAATCTTTAGTTCAATCAGTTTTCACTGACATCCATATAGGTTTAAAACCTGACAATGACTTTTTTTCATTTGAAGATTTCTCCTCCACCACATCAGAAGCTGAAGCAACATCAGTTTAAACCTGTAACCCAGTAAAAATAACACTTTTTCACATATAAATACCACTTTTCTCAGTTCTCAGTTTTATAGAACGTTTTTAGTTGTGACATTTAGACTGTACATTCTATTTACCACATAACCTTATTTACTGGCAGCCGTAACAGTTAAAAAGCCAGTGATAAGCTTTTGTAGATAGCAAAGTTGTAAAGTGATTATTCAACAGAGCAGGAGGGTTAGAACCACTCTTTTCTACTTGTTTGATTATGAATTCCTCCTGGTTTCTGCAAGAGTAATGYTTAAAATACAACAGCTAATTAATTAAATAACTAATATTTTTTTCAGAAATTGTAACATCTCTCATGTGCAATTTTCAAACAATTAAGGAGTATATTCTGTAAAGTTTCCTTATTCTTCATTTTTATGTATAGAAATTATTTTATCTTTTGTATAGTGTACATTTTGTCTTATTATATTTAACTTGTCTATTTTATTTTACTGTCTATTTTTTATTTTATCTTGTCTAAAAACAATGTACCTTGGAGCAACAAATACAATTTCATTGTAATGCAAATTATGATGACAATAAAGTCAATTCCGATTCTGAAATTAGGATTCGATGAGTTTCTAAAACATCAAAGTGTGTAAAAAGCTGCTATAATTGTGTTTTTGCTCATGGAAATATGATGGAAAATGACTGATTTATGAATCTGTCACCTTTTGTCAAAAGATTAATTTTATCCTTTCAGATCATCTGTATAGTTATTACTGCTGCATGTTCAGCACCTATAGGTTCTCTTTGGGGATTTGTGGGTTTTTCTACTTTAATTTCCTCCCACAAATAAAACACATGCACGTTGGGGTAACTGGTCAATAGCCGTGGTGTGTGAGTGTGTGCGGTTGTGAATTTCATGTTTTCCTGTGACGGATGGGCAAAACCTTCTGCAAACGGTCTGCAAAATGTTTTATTTTCTGCAGCTTTATAAGAACTTTGCATCGCGTGACACATGAATCTGAAACTGCACATTTTACCAAAAGATCTGTCTATTAAAAAAATGATATAAAAAGTCAAAACTATTCTAAAGTGTTCTTAGAAATGATTCAGAATCTTGCACAASTTTGTAAGAACATTATTATCAAAGTTTTTGTAAWCACTGATTCAGACCTGTTTAATCTGCCATAACGTTRATTTATATATATGYATACRGTATATACTGTATATATACTGTATATACGTATATTGCATTCTTCATGATTAGATGAGAGTCTTTTTGATCCTATCATTAATAAAAGGCCCTAAAAGTCTTRCTCAACCCTCAGGACGATAAACTGATTTTATTGACTTCCCGTGCTGTTAATTTGAACACATGTATTWTCCAACACTTACAATGTGTAAAAAGGTTCAATGAAACAAGGTTGGGTAGTAAATAATTGATTGGATCAGAGACATAGTTTTACACATTTCACAGCAGTTGGCTTGTAAAATTTTATGTTGGGGTTGTTAAAACAAATTAAWGTTTTTTTTAGCACCAGCTAAACACTTTCAGTATTAGGTTCCTTTGGCTGTATATACRCTTTTATAACTCATTCCATTGTTTTCAGTACTGTCTTGCACAAATATTCTGGCAGAAATAGTCTGATATTTATGCAGGAAGAGCTAAAGCTGGCTGCTGCTGCTCGWAAATTATTATAAAAAACATTGTAGATTTGAGTTGCAGCATCAACAGTCTCCTGGTCCTACATGGACTAGTTTGTTGATTTGGTCACATAAAACCTCTATTTCTCCCAACAATTAAAATGCTATCTACAACAGGCAAGGTATTAATTGCACATAACCTTTAGACCAAACAGTTAGGGACCTTTAGGATAAAAGCATGCTTGCAGCTTGTCTGTGGACGGGACAGAAGGCAAAATGAACTCAATCAAGGCTGGGAACAAGCTAAAGAAGGCTGACTGTTAATCAAGAACAGCTAAAGCAAAACCCAGAACAGGAGTAAAGTAAAAGTATTCAACATATTAAAAAACAAAAACTAAGCGAAAATGTATAGAACAGGTTTATTAGATTGCAGAATGAAGAGCATTCAACTGTAAAAAAAAGAAAAAAAGAAAAAAAGAAAAAATGTCCATTTTGTAAAACAGGAACAAGGCAAAGATTAGGTTGAAAAATATGCAAATAAAAAACCCCACAATTTAACAGTGTAAAAATGATAAACACATTAAAACTGACACAGTCAAAAGGCTCTACATGTCAAACTTTGGTGTTTACAGAACTTGTTTTTTCTTTCTCTTCTAAGCTAATAAGGTTTTTGAGCGCGTCCACACTTTCAAAGTCAGGGGGCGTGTTAAAGAACAGCTCGTCGTCAAAGCAGTCCTCGTCAGACGGYGCAGCCATGAACGGCAGCTTCATCACCAGCCCGGTGAGCAGCCCGCCCACTGTGGACGCTGCGATGGTGGCGAACACAGCTGCCACCTGGTAGAGGGCTTGTTCCTGTGCGGTGCGACCCAGGCCCGGCTTCAAACCGGGGATCAGCTCCTGCAGCTCCAGAAGCTTGGGATCTCCTTCAGGTGGAGCGCGGTGGGAGAAGATCTGGTACAAGCTGGGCCCGTAGGTCTCCTCGGAGGCCAGGAGAATGGCGCAGATCCCGGCTATGGAGGATATGAGGCCTGTGAGCCCATGGAGGTTGTGAATCCCACACTGGTCCTGGATCCTCATGCGCTGGGCCAAAAACGGGGTTAGATACTTGTAACCGAAAAAGCATGCGGTGCAGCCCATGACGCCCAGAGCGTACGCAGCTACAGGAGATATCATCATGTCCACAGAAGCTCCCACGGTCACACCACCTGCCAGCGTCACGTTCTGAATGTCTGCCATCGTGAGCTTACCCCTCTTGTGGAACACGGCAGAGAGGGCGAAGGCTGTGATGGTTGATGAGCTCAGACCTATAAAGGTGTGGAGGATTGCTCTGTGTTGATCGTCCCCTTTAAAAGTCAGGGCAGAGTTAAATGAAGGCCAGAACACCCAAAGGAAGAGCGTTCCCATCACAGATAAAATGTCCGAGTGGTAACTTGTGGTCTCCTTAGGGTGACCATTGTTCAGACTCGGCCGGTAGAGCACAAACGTCACCCCGAGACCAAAGTAACAAGCAAACATGTGGATGAGGATGGTGCCTCCTGCATCGTTGATCCTGATGTACTTCAGCACCGCCCACTCTGTCAGTGAAAAGACAGGGATCTCCAGCAGAGCCATGACCAGGAGCTGAACGGGACCGGTCTTTCCGAGCACGGCGCCAAATGAGATGAGCACCACGGCGCAGGCGAACTCTGCGTTCAGCAGGTTGATCACCCCCAGGTAAATTTTACCGTCGTGGTAAAACTGGAAGAAACCTTGGATGAGGATGGCCCACTGGATGGTGAACGTGGCTGTGAGGAAGTTGAAGACCATTCCGCTGAAGCCGTAGAAACGGAAGAAGGCCAGGAGACAACCGAACCCGATGAAGATCATCACCTGCACATCGGCGAAGTATGGGTAATCGCGATACAAGGAGTTCTGCATCGGGTCGGTCTCGTTGTTCTGCAGCTTTGCATTTGTGTTGTCATCATAGGTGACGAAGACAGCATAGAGAGCTAAGATCACCACCTCTAATACCAACACCAACACCGGTAACCGCACCTTCAAGTTCGTTGACTTGCTCATCTTGGTGCTCAAGTCAAGCAGGGACAAAAGACTAAACTGTCTGCTGCAACGCGCCTTTTATATGATTCTGTCAAGATAAGAGCAGCTTATAGCACTGGTTAAACATCCTCCTGGTCTGGAAGGAGGACAAAGTTATTTAACAGGTCAGCACAGGAGGCGGAGATGCACTTTAATCCCCCAGGTTCTTCACGATAACCTTATCTGTCCTGAAGTTTTTCTTCACATCTCGATTTAAATCTCTGAAAACACATTTGATTCAAAGAAGGGAAAAAACAAAAACTCAAGACTTTATTCAAAGCGACTTTGAAATAGTCTGATTTTTTTTCTGGGAGTCACTCAAATATTCACATCTCATGATACTGTGCAAGTTCTGTTTGTCACCTTTTCCTGCTTTACTTTGGCAGTGCCACTTAAAAATAAAATATGCCAGTTATGTGACAAAATGGGTAGAATCATATGCATCATAATGCATCATGCCAAATTTCCCCAAAAATTATGTTTTTTTTTTTTGCTACTTCTATATTTCTAGGACATGCCTGTAGTAACATTATTGTCCAGCAGGCGGCAGAGTCTCCTCTAAAAACCGGTTTTCAGCCTCAGATTAAACTTGAAAGAAGAAGTCTCTTCCCATGATGCATTGCTCTGCCAACGTATGCAAACAGGAACATGTCTACCGGCTTTTAACATCTTTAAACCATCTTGTGTCTGTCTGACCCGGTCTGTGACAGCCCGACCTTTGCTGTTCCTCGGTGTTGGTGGAGTTTCTCAGCGGTGCCTCCGGAGTCTGAAAGCGGCGTCCTTCTTCTTGTTCATCGGTCTCAGTCAGGTAATCGGAGGTTAGCTTAGCTAATGTTAGCACCGCGAATCAATCAGTGCAGCCGAATTAATATTCTTTTCATTTTGTGTCCATTTGGCAAATCCGCTTTCAAATATGACCCAATGTTTTAAGCGGGATCCATATTTCTGTATGTTAAATGTTCGTGTTTATCTTTGTATAATAAAGCCTGTCGTGTCCAAAAAACCTGACACGACTACAAACTGGGGCTCATCCTCATCAGAATAACTGGATTTCCTTCTCGTGAAGTGATACTCATTCTGGACAGTATTTTCCAAATAATACTTAGTCATTGTTTTTCTAGGCCTTGTTTAGAGGTATTATACAACGTAAAGTGTGTTTTATTTTAATAAAATGTAACCAGCATTTCACCCAAAGCACAAACTTTTCTCATTGTTTAGCTGTCTCATTTAAATTTTCATGGAAGAGATGTGTGCCGCTCACATATTTAGGGACTTTATTAGAATTCTGCCTACATTTTAAAATGTACAGAAACACTGAAGAAAAACCAGATTACATCGCAGATAGAAAAGGAAAACTGTACAAATGGCAACATGTTCCACCAGGTAGACTGGACTTTTCCCACTTTTTATCCAAGACTTGTAATAAGAAGTGAGTTTTTGTTTGCTGACTTATAAGTTTGAGTTTTTAATATTTATGACTGATGGTAACTGATTTTTTTCAACAGGATGAAGTGCTGTAGACAATCTGTGCTACAGTTTTTGTTCCCTCAGAGGAGCTGGCAATATCTGTTTAAAGAAAACTGAATTATTATATAAGGCAACATTCTCCAACTATCAGCAGCAGCCTGTGATCTGATGAAAACTTGGCCGACTTCCTTCTTCTAGTTGATCTCCTTCTTTTTCCAGGCGAGAAAAAATGTCAGTCTTCTGTCTGTGGAGCAGGTCCYGTTTTTCAGGCTGCATCTTCAAACTAACATTTTATCTCTTATTGTAATCCATGTGGTTATTTTCACAAAGTGAAGTTGACCAATATCGTGATTTTTTTATTTTTATTTTCCTTAGTGTGCTGGCTGTGTTCAGTTGAAGTTATTAATTGTCCTGCTTAACATATAGTTTGCTTCTGATGCTAACTATTGTCCTAAAAGAAGATCTGTTCAAATTCTCTCAGTGTGGGTCGTCATGGCGAGTCCAAGAACCAGAAGAGTTCTGAAGGAAGTGAGAACCCAAGATGAGAATAATGTAAGTTATTGCAGTGATTTAATTTCACATGAAAGTCTGCCTTAGAGCCATTTCCCTCTGGGATCAAAAAGTTTTTTTGAAATTGAATTGAATTTTGAATTACTCAAACCTTATTACAGTTGTCAATGAAAGAAATTTTTCATTTAAGTCAAACAACAAACTGTTCAAAGAAAAAGGAAAAGAAGGATTATCATTTTTATTATTCTTATGCTTACTTGAATAGACTAGCTACAGATCCATCACATCCAGGACAAGCAGAATAAAAAACTGATTTATCCCAAGAAATGTACAGGAACTGAATGCTGCAAACACACGCACAGTAATTTTGAAGCTATCTGGGGACTGTGCAATAATCTGTTCTATGTTTTATACCTCACAAATTTATTTTTGTGTAAGTTTATTGAATGCTTTTTTTTAATATAATTTTTGTTTTTTGTATGTGTTTTTATTGTGGTTAGACACCTTAAGGATTGCTGCTCAATTTCATGGTACATCGGAACAATGACAATAAAGATCTATCTTTCTAATACTTGACACATTGTTGCTATTTCTCTCTGGAGCCTGTGGGGCATGGAACATGTTCTTTCTCCAAAAAGAGGATCATGACAGAAAAAGTTTAAGAACCATTGTCTAAAGTAAAACAGACGATCATTCCCCGGTCCTTTGATTTTTGTTTGCATTAATTAAAAAAAATCATAAACAGAMAATTTTCTAGGTTGACTTGTATCGTTGGCAGTTGCAGCAAGTCATCTGTAAGCATATGTATTGCTAAAAAATGGCTTTATAAATGTTTAATTAATAAAAATGATAATATAAATTAAATCACAAATGTCACAAAATATTTCTTTAAGGATTTACAAAGTCAACATGATTTAAAACAAACTGTATATACTTACTAATCAGTGTCTGGTGTCTGCTTTCTTTTCAGTTGTGTTTCGAGTGCGGAGCTTTTAACCCTCAGTGGGTCAGTGTGACGTACGGCATTTGGATTTGCCTCGAGTGTTCTGGAAAACACAGAGGCCTGGGGGTCCATCTCAGGTGGGCGAGATTCAATGCACAATAAATTTCACATGGATAAGTTAGGAAATATTTTTTCCATTTTTTCCATCAGTAGCTTGGAAAAGCTCTGATAGCTTAGAAAATGTTTTCTTTCTTGTCAAACAAACCCGTTCTGACATTGATTGGTCTCTCCTCTCCTGGTTTCAGCTTTGTGCGCTCTGTCACCATGGACAAGTGGAAAGATATTGAGCTGGAGAAAATGAAAGCTGGAGGAAACGGCCAATTTCGCCTGTTTCTCGAACTCCAAGATGATTATGACCCCAACTGGAATTTACAGGAGAAATACAACAGCCGAGCAGCTGCGCTCTTCAGAGACAAGGTGAGATGCACAGAGTTTAGGACCTAGAAGATTTAAAACATGTTAGACTAAATTTCATCAGTAGCTCCATGTATTAACAAGTCTATTTGTTCCTCAGGGTGCATGCAGGGTCTTAAAATGTGTAAAATTTGAAAATCAAAATTTTAGGCCTAAAAAAAGTCTTAAACGCCCAGATTTTCATCCAAGGTCTTACATTTTATTTTGTCAAGTCTTAATTTTTTTTTACTTTTGATCATTCCCAAGTAGAGTTGGCTGCATAAATAAGCAGAGTAAAGAGCTGTAATCAGAGGTTGACTCAATCGGTCTTCATGAAGTGCTAAGTTTGCTGCTGGTCTTAGTATGTGGTTAAACTACAAATCCTTTTTTTTGTGACACAAAAAATATAAATAAACTACAAATCCTGTGATAACTGCAGGCAAAAAAACGGCACAGTTTACTTCCATGTTTTCAACCTTTTTGCCGCTACACCCCCCTGAATACAGCGGCTTATTCACCCACCCAAAAAACAAGAGTCATGTTCACTGCTTATTTAAACATGAGAGAGAATCTTTTCAATAAGACTTGGYTGGAAATCAGTGATTTTTGCAGAAGTTGGAAGCAGTCCACATCAGTCGATATTAAGGTCTCAGATATGATCATTTCATTAAAATAATTTAGTGTTCTTGTATTAAAATTAATTATTCTTTAATAGTTAAACTGACAGCAATAAAAGGTTTCCATGTTTCAGTTTCTGGGACCATTTGAATGTTTCTGTTAATGTGTCAATTTGGTCTTAAATGTCAGTCATAATGGTCTTAAAAAGTCTTGAAAAGGTTAACTTACTGAAACCTGCATGAACCCTGGTTACTATAGATTAATAAACTGCTTGTTTATAAAAGAATAAAGGCAGCTTCGTTAAGTAAGTTTAAACCGAGTTAAAGAAAGAACTTCTTTTTAAGTATATTTAAGCCAACTAGATAAATACTCTTTGAATTAACACTTTGTTTGATAAACAGGTTGCAACTTTAGCCGAGGGGAAGGAGTGGTCCATTGAGACGTCTCCTGCTAAGAACTGGACACCCCCTCAAGCCAAGACCAGCCTTTCAACCTCCCATCGGTAAGTAAAATGGAATATTTGAACAAACCAGTGCTGCTCGTATTAATCAACACACAGAGCTGCTGGTACACATCTAAGTTTAAACTCTGACTTCAGCTCTGGAGGACCTGGACAGAACCCAGCAAGTTCTAGCGACAAAGCTTTTGAGGACTGGTTGTCTGACGACGTTAACTCTTACCAGAGGTTAGTTGAGTTTAAATAATTGTTTTCTGCATATCAAGTATTTAATGTTTATTTTTAAGCTGATTTTAAAACGGTTTCTTCAGTGGAGGAGGTTACAGTGGAAACCAGGAGAATCGTTACGTTGGTTTTGGCAACACGGTGGCGCCGGAGAAAAAAGACGAAGACTTCCTGAACAATGCTATGTCGTCAATTTATTCAGTAGGTCATGATGCCGGCTGTTGCTGGATTTTTATTAGATCCTCTTATATTTGTTGTGTATTTATGGTGATTTCTTTTGTTTACACCCAGGGATGGAGCAGTTTCACTGTTGGAGCCAGCAAGTTTGCTTCTATTGCCAAAGATAATGTGAGTTTATCTAAACCAAAACAAGTGAAGAGTTTATTTTTTCAATCTCTGGGTGAAAATAGAACTCCTTTTAAAAACTTTAAATATTTTTTTTCCTCCACTTTGCAGACAACAAAACTAGCAAACCAAGCAACGTTAAAGGTAAGAGTTATTATTGTGGCCTTGATTTGTAAACTTATCTTATTACACTGCGCAACCTTTGAACTTGTGATAACGTTGTTGCTACTAATATCTTTCTGCCCTCTCTGGATGTAGTTAAGGGGCTATAAAGCCCCACCAGAACCGGTAAAAAGTCATTTATAGATGCATGGTCCCCTTTCCCCCCACTTTTTTAAAAAATTGCATTCAGTCTTTTAAATTTGTGTTAGCTTACATTTTTAAAAAATCTTATAAACATTTTACAGCATGTTGTTGAATGTTGTCTTCACATGCTTCTGCTCGTGAAAACCAAATACTGCTTGTCTTGGTGCTGATATTTTAAGTTCATGAATCATTTTTAAAGGCTGCTGAAGCTGTGTTGTGACATTAGATGCATTCTGGTAGATCCCTAATTTTCATTTGTAATTGCTTATCCATCCATTCATGCATGACTCCCCCCCTCTGTTTTTAGTTGTAATTGAGTGTAATACATCAAAACATTTCGGTTTAGTTCCACAGTGTTGTATTAGGCACAACGTTGATGAAAGAGGGGGGGAAAAACAGAAAGAGGAGGGATGGGTGAAAAATTTGATGTGAATGAATTCTCACTTTTTAGCTTTAAAGAAGTCTTGTTATTGTTAGGAAATAATGAATGAATGAATATCTTTTTTTTTTTTTATCACACAACAGTGCATGATTAAAATTGAAAGGCTGCCACTGAATGGTGCTCACAAACAAATATCAACAAATCAGTGAAAAGACAAATAGTTCAAAGGTACCAGATATAAAACACAGTCAAACAAGTCAAATGGATCAGTTTAGTTCTGTTAAGCCGTGTTCAGAGTTCTGATGACCCACAGATTAAAAACTGTTCTTCAGTCTGTGGGTTCTACAGGTCAAGGACCTGAACCGGCTGTTGGAGGGCAGCAGCTTAACCAGAATCGGGAGGTTCARAGGAAATTTTCTCCGSCCTGCTGAGGCAGCAGGAGCTGGCAATGTCCTCAGAGGGGTGCAAAGGGCAACCGATGACCCTGGCTGCAGTTTTGATGACGCTCTGCAGGGCCCTCCTGTTTGCAGCAGAGCAAACCACACAGACTCTATGTTGGAGCGGTAAAAGGACACCAGCAGTTTCTTTCTAGATGATTCCTCCTCAGCTCCTGCAGGAAAGGGAGTCTCTGCTGGGCCTTTTTGACCAGTGCTGATGTGTTGATCCTCTAAAATGTAGGTCCTTAAAAAGGAAGCCACCTTTTCCATGTAATGGTCAGAGGAGTGTGGTCCCTTCTCTGCCTCCTGAARTTAAATATGTCTTGGAGGTGTTTAGCCCCAGATTATTTCTGTTGCACCATTCTGCCAGCTCTTAAAAACCCTAAATATTATTTGATAATATAAAAAGATAAATTAATTGAGAAGTCACTGTTTTATGAGACAGAAATTAGGTAAAGTGGCACCTTTTTGTTAAGATTTATTTATAAACCAACATGGATTAACAAAAAAGTTTTAAGCACATTATATACTGTATATTATTTTTCTTTGAAGCTATTTTTCCTCTTCAAAGTACATTTGATTATGAGTACATCATAAAAATCTGCGTATATTTAATCAAACTACACTTTAGTTGTTGACAATGTTGCAAACACATTACAGAGAAATCTAAATATTTTGCATCATTACACCCTCTAGAGCTTTTTCTGTTGTTGTGAATAGAACTGCTCTGTTTATTGATGCAGCCAAGGAACGTTTTGCCCCAGTGTGAATGTTGAAGTTCTGTTTTATTCAAGTGGACTCTCCTCTCTGATTTCCAACTAGGCCACAGAGTTAGGACAGACATTAAATGAGAATGTTATCAAACCTACACAAGAAAAGGTAACATTGATGTTTGAAGTTGTTGAAGTTGGTGGTGGGATGCAGTGCTTTAGACAAAAAGAAACGGCTTCAGATGTGAATGTGCTATTTTCTCTGCTGCTCGTCTATGCTAGTTTATTTCCTCTTTGCCAGCTTACATTACAAGACAAGGTCTGTAATTTAAATGGAAAAAAAAAAACAACTTGTCAGGAACTAAATTAAGAGATTTCTAGAAAAGTCTCTCGTAGCTGTGACCTGTCGGTGTGATCTGAGAGTTGCGTTTTGAACATTCATAATAGCTGTGATCTTCTGACACGCTGTCAGCTTTTAATTGCAAAGTTTGCTTTTCAAAGGACCTCCACTTCTTTATGATTTTAAATGTTGTAAAAGGGCAGTTTTTATAGAAAATAAATTAGGATTAGTTGACTTCTCAGGAAGAAAAAAGTTAGACTCACTCTCTAAGACCAGATTAATCAATTTTCTGCTGCTTATTTGTGGTTGGGTTGTGGAGGCAACAGTTCTAGGAAGGAAACCTAGACCCCCAGCCACATTTTCCAGTTACTCCTGGGGGATTCCAATGTGGTCCCAGGCCTGAGAGTATATACTGTATAGTCCATCCAGTGACTCCTGTGTCTGCTCTGGGGAATGTGCCTAAAAAACACTGAGAGGGAAGTGTTCAGGAAGCATCCTAATCACCTGACTCCTTTTGATGCAGAGGCTCTACACACCGAGCTCCCTCTAGGATAACCTACATCTTATCTCCAAGGCTGAGCCCTTCCCTCCTGCAGAGGAAGTTCATTTAGTCAGCTTGTATCTGGGATCATGTTCTTTGAGTCAAGTTCCATATCCCATAAGTGAGAGGCAGACCAGTCTCCTTCACTATGATGGACTGGAACAACACCCTCGTTACTGTAGACGAGGCCTTGATCCATCTCCTGCTCCATCCTACCATCGCTTGTGAGCAAGACTCCAAGATACTTGAACTGTAGTTGAGGCACATACTGCCCCCTGACTCAGAGGAGCCCTCCAACTTTTCCAGTAGAAAATCATAGCCTCAGACTTAAAAGAGCTGACTGAAGACAAGGGGCAAACATGGGTCTGGAGTCTTCTTTATTGAATTCAGGGGATGTTTTGATCAAAACAACCCTTCAACAGACTGAAGAGCTGAAACAAACCACAAGAGGAGCATTACACTCCAATGTGTGTTTGTCACAGTTTACCCATGGTTTTAGCTCAGMTCCTGCCATGGATGTCCATGGTTGTCTCAGCTTATAGTTTAATTTAAATCATAAACTAAAATACTGCATTTAATAATAAAATTTGCTTTATTTATCTTTAAATTCATAAATGTGTATTTTCCAAAATGTCTACAATCAAATATATGTTTTTTTTTCTAGTGATTCAAATTTTGAAAACTGGTCAAGCAACTAAATCTAAATTCTCTTATCGGAACTGGAACTTGGGAACTTTTAGTGATCAAGCAAAACTAAAATGGAGTCTTTGTACTTTGTGAGATTGTCTTGCCAAATTCTGCCAACATAAGAAAAGACGAGCAGCAGCTTCTCGTTAGAAAACAGACACAGTTCAGCCATAACAGTATGACCACTCACCGGTTAAGCAGCTCTGTTCAACGTCTTTACTGATGGGAATAAAACTATTCAGTTACTTTCACAGCATCCAGCCCCCACACATGAAATCAATTCAAATCTTGATCCAGATTCACAGAATTGATCTGATGACATCTGTGGGTGATGATTTATAGAGAACACTGTTATATTTTGAAATTCTCAATTTGTCAAAGCAGTTTTGTTGACAACAGAGTGACTTCCTCAGTGTTGGGTGGTCAGAAGGGCTGATCTGTCTTTGCTTCTGCTTCTACAAAGGCTTCTTGTTTTGGGATTCTCTTCTGAACTGATTAATAAATGTCACCATTTTTTGAGGTATTGGTAAGTGTTTTCCACAGAAATGTTTCTGCGCAGCAACTTTAAATTTTGGTTGTCAAGTGAGCAGCTGCTGGACTCGTCTTCTAATCCAGTCAGATGGTGGAGAAAAACATGAATCCAAATAAAAAGGCCTTGTCTTAGAAGTGGTTTTAAATTTTCATTTTATTACAAAAGCAGACAATCTCATTGGTCACATGTTCCCTTTTATGACCAGTGACTGAGATTAAAACAAAAAGATTTTGTCTTCTAATGTACAGCTGGCATTAGTGCTTAAATGTATCTGTCATATGTGTGCTTTCAAAAACTGCCTTGCTGCTGTCTCACTTCTTGTGTTGTGAATTAACAGTAATTTTAACAATACGCTCACTTTTCTCATCTTCAGAAATTAATATTCACAATCTGATTTATTTACTAAACCAATTTTGAACAAAGCATTTTATTTAAAAAAGAAGAAGTTTTTTTAACAATAATTTGGCTCGTCCAGGTCAAAGATGGCAAATTGCTAGATGAAATGGCGGTCAGCATCACTGGGCTGGCGAACAAGGTAGGATGGGCAGATTTCTGCCGTACAGATGCAAAACCAGCCTCCTGAGTGAGACGACACAGCTCGGATCGAATATTTATCTAATTTTACCAGTAATTTAAAACTCTTTGTGACGACAGAGGAAGTATTTTTGATTTTTTTTTTAAATTATTAGTTAATTTTTTTTGAAACCATCTCAGGAGACTGGTTTTGCAGTGTTGATGAAAGATTAAATGATGCTAATTCAATGTGATCTCTTGTTTTTCTTGCTGCCATTATTATTCTGGTGGTGAGTACACCATTGAAAGCTGTCATGATGTAGTAATGTTAAAACCTTTAGAAATGTTTTTATTTAAAACATTTATTTAATGTTTTTATTACAGAATCCAGTTTTTGTTTAAACCAAATTTGCTAACTTTTTCTATTTGTTGTAAATATTGAATTTTATGGTGATCATACCATTTTAAATACTAGTTTTGATTGGGTTTTGTTTATTTTTAACTTAGTTCTGTTTTAGGTCTAGAAATACTTGGTTTGTTTATTTATTTAATTTTATTTTTTATTTTTTTAGATGCAGGGAGCAGGTGCAAAACTGACCAATCTGATATCTGGAAAACCACAAGATGGGTAATTAACATCTTCATTCAAAATAAGCTCAACTCTGACATGCGTGTCTAAAATATTGTGTGATTTTGATCCAACCTGATGGAATCTTATATATATTTTTTGTGTGTTCAGATCTGGTGGAGAGAGCTACCAGAACATGGATGCCTCTGAGGGCTACCAAGGCAGCTCTGGCCAGGCCGTCTCGAGGGACTTCTGGGAAACTTTTGGCAGCAACAGCTCCTTAAAGGAGAAGAAATCTCCCAGCAGTGACAGCTGGACCATGGCAGATAATTCGGCGAAGAAGAGCTCTGACAGTTGGGACAATTGGGGCTCTGAAGGAGCGGTGTCCAACAACAAACACAGCACAGAGGAGAGCTGGGAAGCCTGGGACAACAACTGGGAGAACGCGGACGGCAAGACAAAGAAGAGTCCTTCAAAAGCCGCCGAGGAAAGCTGGGACACCGCAGGCTGGTAGTGGCCTCACAAACATACATAATCTCATTTGTTTTCCTCCTCTTGGCCTTTTCACTGCCTCCTTCTTTCTCTTCCTCTGTTCATCTCATTCCATTAGAGCTTTCCGGAATAGACTTCCTTTAGCTTAGTTCCTATTTATGCATTTAAATAGAATTTTCCTATTTTCTTCAAAAACAATCAATGAAACCCAGAACTGAGTTGAGCTCATTAAATAAAACACCATAAAACTATATTGATTTCCAGAGCTATATTTTATTATAAATTGCCTTCATCATAATAAATCAAACCTAATGAGTGTAGATGAGAACTTCCTGTATGAATTGCCCAAAATATAAAACTTGTAAAGGTGAGTTATTCTGTGTTCATGTCTCAATGGTTTAGTGATATTGATGTTTTAATTCAGCACATCAAATAATGATGCATGAAAGAGAAAAATCTATTGTAAATATGAATCATTGTAAATACGACTAACTAAGCTGTTTGTGTTCAGTCAGATTTAGGCCCTTTAGATCTTTTGCACGGTTTGTAAAATTGATTTATGAAAAGCCTTTTTGACAGATTATAACACCCATTCCAGCCTGTAGTCAGTGTTCTGTTAAATAATATTAAAAAAAACAAATTCATTGTAACAAACTGTTTACGATTAATTAAAACATCTGTGGATTTGTATCTAATTTGTGACTACATGATTTTCATATAGTGTTGATTTTTCTATTTTTTTTATAGATTTATTAAAGACATGTCATGGAATTTAGGATCATCAAAGAGCTACTAAATGACACAGATGCAGGAACAAAAATCCTTGAAATCATTCAAATTTATGTCCAACAAACTTGCTGCCCTGTTGCACAAAAATCAGAATTTTACATATTTCAGTAAAGCAGTTATTAATTAACAGGATTCACTTTTACACACTTTATAAAAAGAAAAAGGTTTGACTAAATAGTGTCTGATTTACTGATTTTATTCTAAAAATGTCCCATCAATAATTTAGTCATTTAGAGAACATCAGAGAGCACCTTATAACCATAACAAACCAGCAAAACAGTTTGTCCCAATGATTTTATTTTTCTAATAATAAAACAATTACAAATAAAAATTCCACCTAATTCCAAATCTAGTTCTGAATTGTCCCTGCTACCTTTAAATTATTATTTTGTAAATGCACATATTTAATCAAATTGCTGATTGAAATTTAAAAACTAATTATTTACTCACTTTTTGTGGTCATTAATAACTTTAGTATAGATTTTTGTCACTCATCTTCTAAAGACAAGACACTATAAATTGCTTTTTATTGGAAGTTGGTAACAATTTTTGTGTATTAAAATAATAATAAACTTAAAGATGCTGGGTCAAGTTTAAGCTCAGATTTTCAGCACAGTTAACATGAAGTGGTTAAAACCAGGTTTACTTCAGCTGACATTTTTATTTTTTTGATAAATTTTTGTTTCTCTCGAACAATACACTTCATCTTCCTTTTTTCAAAGTTTATTTTTTTACGACACAATGTAGACCTTTTGAATGATTCATGTGTAAAAATGATATAATATTGCTGATAAAAAACAAAACAAAACATGGACACTTTTTGCTGTAGCCTTAATTCAGAATGAAGGCCAAGTTTGGACCACACGGTTGTAAAAGCCTGTGAATCTGTGAACGCAGCTGAAAAACGTCATAGTACATTTGATTAGATCTGAAGCTGCTCTCTTCACCTCRGCCATATCTTCACATCTGAACTGTGGGTGGATTTATTCATGAGGATTGCTGCTCTTTGATAGTTGTGAACTAAACTGATAGCCTAATGCATCTCTCAGTTTAAAGAGCAGCTGTGTTATAAACCTGTCACAACATGGAGGAATGTGTTTGTTAAAAACAGAGGAATTACTTTAGGGTTTTTAGTTAATAAAATTTGAGAACACCTCTTTCCCTGTAATGCTGTTTAAAACCAACTCAATGATTTGGCTTGTATGGGTCAAAATCTGGATATATGTTTCCCTTAAAGCAATAAGTTTATTTAAAATAAAACTACACTACTACGCTTGGTTTTTGGTTGATTGTTTGACACATAGAGGCTGTAGTCTCAGAATGGCTGGAGGAGCAGTGTGTCAGAGCAGACTTGTTAACATTTTTACAGTGTTCATTTGGCTTTAATGGCTAAAAATAGCACCGTGCTCACGTTTTAATGATTCACTCCATGCTTCATTTTCTACCTCTAAGAAAGTTTTGGTTCACAGTCTGGCTTGTGAGTGGAAAACTTTTTTTTTTTACAGCCTCTTAATTTCTCAGTGTTGTTTTCATGTGGAGTTCATTTCTTCCTGTTAAACATCTGTGTGGGTTTTTTGTGTGTCTGGGGCAGGGGAAAAAAACTCAAACTTGAGCCTTCAGTGTTGATGTGTTTTCAGTGTCAATGCTGTGCTGCGTTAAAAAAATAATCACTCCTGTAACTTTTCTCCTGTTGAAACCCTGCTGTTGTGTTAATGTACAGTCAAGTGTTCAAAGCCTTAAATATCCTTATTTTTCTGTTCCTACTGATGACACTTTGCCTGTGTGTTTTCTATGCTGTGGGGTGACGGTAAACGATGAACCACAGCTTTGCCTCTATTACTGACATTTTACAGATTCTCTGTTTCCTTATTTAATACTGGAATTTACACAAATAGTTCAAGGACGAAGGGAAGACGTTCTGTAAAATCTCCTTTTAAAAAATGAAAAACTTAGTTATTTGTTTTTAATAGTTCTAAAAATAACTGTTCATTTAATGAATGTGTTGTTGGACGTACAACTACTCTAGATTCAGAAGCAAAATGACAAATGCATCAGTGATTTGGTTGACTTTAACTCGTCTTTATATACATTTTTCATTTTTCCCCCTACCCTACATTAAAAGAAACTGGTGTTTCTTTAATTTAAAACTTTTCCTTATCAGGAATCAGTCTGTTTCTGTGCCTGTTCAACATCTGAGATCTGGTGCATCTGTTTGTCTGTGAAACTAAATATGTCAAAATACTATTTTTTGATGTTGTGCATGATATTTAAAGTGGAGCTGACCATACGGAGTTGTTTCCTCTGTGACTTTTAAGTGCAGTTGTGTGCTTGTTTCACCAGCAGCATTCCTCAGAGACGAGCCTGTGTTATCTGATCACACTGAGGCTGTGGACGTGCTTTCCTGTACACTTGGTTTCAGTGTGAAATAAAACTGTAATGTGAAGTAATGTGTGAATGCGATCATTATTTATAAGAGTGAAGCGTCAGGATCAAAGAGTGCAGAACTTTTTTTTTCTGGACTTCATATGTGCTTTATTTTTTATTTTATACAAAACTCTTTGCTGTATTTAATTTTGGACTTCAACACCATTAGTTTTAAGTTTTGATTTATGTTTTTATCAGTAGAAAAAGTAAATAAAACTGAACCTTGGTAAAAGAGAGGAACCTTTGAAATTTAAAGTCCACACTTAAAATGCAACTTTTTAAACCTAATGTATAGCATTACACAAAACCTCAAAACACATGTCCAAACAAATATTTAAAGAAGCTGAAAGACTAAACATATTTTTATCCTGCAATAAAAACAACCACAGCACCGAAACCGCCTTCATAAAAATCACTAACGATCTTCTGCTTGCTGCCGACTCTGGTCTCCTGTCCATCCTCATCCTTCTTGACCTAAGTGCTGCTTTTGATACGATCTCTCATTCTATTCTCAACAGACTCACATCCATTGGCATCTCAGGTACTGCGTTTGACTGGTTCAAATCTTATCTTTCTGACCGCACTGAATCATCCAGATAAAATCCTTCCATTCTCAGTCATCCCCCATCTCCACCGGCGTGCCCCAAGGCTCTGTGCTTGGACCACTTCTATTCGTAACTTACCTCCTTCCTTTTGGTTACATTTTCCGCAACCCGTTTCCATTGTTATGCCGATGACACAGCTCTACTTGTCAACCAAGCCAAACTCTGCACACCCTCCCTCCATCCTTTCTGACTGTCTCAGTGAACTCAGTCACTGGTTTTCAGACAATTTCCTTCAGCTGAATAGTGACAAAACAGAAGTCGTCCTTGTCAGCACTAAAAATTCCATCTCAAAATCTAATAATCTCCTCATCCCTATCAACAACACTCTGCTAACCCCGTCCCCTCAGGTCAAGAGTCTTGSTGTCATCCTCGACACCACTCTCTACTTCACTGCTCACATCAATAATATTACTCGGTCTGCCTACTTCCACCTCAGAAATATCAACCGTCTCCGTCCTTCTCTCACACCCCGCACCACAGCCATCCTTGTCCACAGTCTTGTGACCTCACGGATCGACTACTGCAACTCTCTCCTTTTTGGCCTCCCCAACAAATCCCTCTATAAGCTTCAGATGGTCCAGAACTCGACTGCACGTCATCACCCAAACCTCCTCCCATAACCACATCACCCCAGTCCTTCAGCAGCTCCACTGGCTCCCAGTCAAAACTCACATCGTCTTCAAAATCCTTCTTCTCACATTTAAAGCTATCCACCATCTTGCCCCTCCTTACATGTCTGACCTCATACACATCTCCATTCCCTCCCGCTCTCTCAGATCCTCTTCTTCCCTAAACCTCCAAGTACCCACTGCCCGCCTCTCCACCATGGGGAGCAGGGC